TTCCTCAATAACTGATGATTCTACTGTTTGGCTTGGTGCATCTTCACGAGCCAACACCTCCTCCTCGCTTGATATCGTCTCATGAACCGAGACGTCGTCATCCCCCTCTGATTCGCCCATCTCTCCAGGCGAGCGGCCCGTCCAAGAGGGTAGATCCTCTTTGCCAGCGACCTCGTGGGCAGGATCGACTGCGAATACACGAAGGGAGTTAACAAATGCCCCTCGAGAGAGACCCCACTGACAGTTCGGTGCAGAAGGGTAAACAACGCTAAGACCCACACTTACCTGAACCACCAAGCCCCTCTTCGTCTCCAGTCCCCTCCTCTTCGTCCGAAGGAACAGAGATCACTTTCTCGACCGCACCTGCATAGGTCCAACGAAAATGTCAGGGGGTGTAAGTTCAACTTTACGCCCAAGGGTGCTGTTTTAAAGATTACCTACTGGTACGGACGTAAGAACCGCCGGAGCTCCCGTCTGTAGCCTCACGCCAGACTGCGGAGAAGCGTCCTTCAAGGTCACCGGAACAGCCCCCGATACGGTAGAAGAAGCAGGCTGGACAACTATAGTCCCAGAAGTAGTCACTCTAGGGAGGATCACCTGAGAAGCATCATCCTGACCCTCCGCCACTCTGGCGGTCTCAACTGTCCCGCCTCCGCTCGGGAACTTTCGGCCGCTGCCTCCCGCTGACGTTTAGAGAGAAGCGAGCTACTCGGGGACAGAAGGGGCATCCCCATCCGTCCAGCTATCGTGCTCCGGGCCTGCTCTGGGCATTCAGATTCTCTTGGCTCGCTAGGAGGATCCAACGAAGGGCTAGGGGAAGGAGCTCGAGCCTCGGGGGCCCCAGATTCGTCTAAACCGGCGTCAAAACTCTTGGTGTCCTTGGCAGGATCCTCCGAGAACCACTCTTTAGCAGTTTGATGGCCCCTCCGCCTCGAAGGACGAGAAGCTCCCCTTGGTCGACGCCCGTGCTTCGCCAGACACGAGCTCTGGAACCAGAAGCCATCGGGAGTAGCGCTGGCACCCCGATACCACCGGCAGTACAGAAGCGTATGGTGCAAATCACGATCCTTCGCAGGTAGTTCAAAACGGGCATGAGTACCACCAACATGAGTCCAGAACCATCCCCGAGCTCCATCCACCAGCCCTCCTTCAAAGTGCAGGCGGGGATTGACGTTGCCCACGTACAATTGGTCGTACCCAAACTGGCGGGCAAACCTGCAAGGGATATACGGCTCGAGATAGTACACAGAGCCTGTTCGTAGGACATGATACCCCGACCGAATATTCACCAACCATCGAAAAGCACCGCAGGAGAGAACTGTGTGATGGTCCGCCGTTGGCACATCTCTAAGAGACTCCCCATATCCTCCTCCACTGAAGTAGGGGAAGAAACGGTGAAAGTTATAATGCCCGAAACAGGAGAGCGTCTTCCGTGCATCGGGAATATCCTTACACTTCCAAGAGCACCTCTCCAAGCGCTGAACGAATGGGACGAACTTGTCTCCTTGAAGAGTCGTTGGGGCACTCATCAAACACTCGTAGTGGTATATGAACCACGCCATTAGATAACTATACGACAACCCTACCCTAGGGTTGGGGGTCCTGATGACCTCTCCTTCCCCCTCATCGATAGTCGATACGCGGCAGAATTGGGCCGTCAGGGTGCGGAGTCCCCGATGGATACACGCTACCATCGCCGACACCAAGGAGTAGGACTTCCCGTAGGCTAAGCAAACCGTAGGATACACGACCTCCATGGGAAGCGCCTCAAAAGAATGAGTGGGGATTACGCACCTCTTCAGCCACAACATGAGGTACCCCGCGAACAGAGCCTTTCCAAATATAGGGGACTGGGCCTGGTGGTGAAACGAGTGGAAGACCGTTCCGGATTTGAACTTGCCCTCGTCATGCTCGAGAGCTACAGTGGCTTCCCCTTCGGCCATCCGCCTTTCCACTTTAGCCTGGTCACATTCGCTCAGCGGCAAAGCATGCCTTCCTTTGACATCATTCTCAGGGAATAAATAATCAGCCTAGTTCTTGTGGTTGATCCCCGGGGCCCTTTTCTTCTTACCTTTGTGGTCGACCACCCTAAGGTGTTGAGTCATATATGATAGTGGCAGAGCAATTCCCACAGGGTCTCGACCACCAAAGGGGAGCGGTCTGAAAGTTGGTCAATCTCATCTTGACCTGGAACGTACTCCTCATACGGAAAGTCTCCTAAGGGCAGTCCTGACACGTCGTACATCTCATGAAGGGCTATGCCAAGCTCTCCGTTGGGGGTGAAAAACGTGCCACTGTCCGCACAATACAGCTCCAAGATGCTATGGAACTGAAAAGCATTAATCTTCAGACCATGTCGAGTGGCCTGAATGGCCGCATACAGCTTCGAATTCATGAGGTCAGAATTCTCGGCCAAAATGTAATCGGTAATCTTGGACCACCAGGTCTTGCTACCAGGCACAGAGTAGATCCACCCTGGGGCCCTAAAGTC